TGAAAATTCTATCGCAATACCTACATGGGCGTAGTTTTACGTGCAGTGTTAGAAGTTCTTTTGACTATTTCCATCAAACGATCCGTTTTGACTAAATTTCAAATTGTAAATTAATGAATGAAAAAAACAAAATGATAACAGCGAAGATCTTACTGCTGGTGAGTTTGAAGAATGAGTATTGATCATTTAGAGAAGAAACAAATGTAACGAATGAATGAGTATATGGAAGAATTGTGGTTCGGATCAATGAGAAATAAGAATAAAGACAAAAGAGCGATCGATGCGTTTAACTGATTGATCAAGGCCAATCACTACATGACAACCAGCTGTATCTATCTCTTTCGCTATAGCAAAATCATCTTCCCAACATCTATGTCAACGACCTCAGACCGCGCCCTTCCTTTCACAAATCTCATCGTCGTCAGTTTTTGTTCTAAACGCAACTTGAAATCATCCAATGCAACATGAATTTCAGACGATATGCAAAGAAAATTATGATGCATCAAGACGTGCGCTACAATTCATTTATTGAAATATGCGATATTAAATTGAATGATATCGTTTAACTTGCCCACAAATGTTGTCCACAAACAACGTTAGCATTTTCCTTAACGAGCAAAATTTCTCAATCCAACGTTACCGACAAATCGTTTGGCTGTTGCTAACACTGAGAGCGCATGTAGCCTAAATAGATCCACAATGCATACTGAGCAATTTGGCTTAGTTGAGGAGATAGAAGGTATTTTATCAATACTATCTCGACTGGCACCTTCAAGGTTACCGTCTTCTCAAGTTTGCCCAGTAACATATGAATTTTTTTGCACCATTCGATCCAGCTGGATCTCTACATTCAGAAAAACATATATTTTGCTGAGCGATTTTGCTTAGCTGAGGAGATATAGCAATTTTCTTAGATCTATTTCAATTAGCGCAGTCGCGCTCGTCATTCATGTACATTGATCACCATAGAGCAGTCAATACGTTAATGCAGCAATATACGGATCGCGATACGGAGAACTCTACCAAATCGCATCCACGCTTCTCAAACAAGCTAGCTCATCGTGTCGATTGCATGTTTTTAAAAAGATTGAGTAACATTCTGCATGAAACTATCACAGCACCGAATGCTTATCCGCCAAAGGTTAGCCTGCCAGTTGGTCGGAACCCTTGAAATTTGTGTTGAAAATGTGCAAAATGATGCTTTTGAATGTTGTTTTCTTGCTATTAAATATTCTCTTTACGTTGTTCGATATTCTTAACGTGGTTTTAGGTCTTTCAGTAGTGAATAGTGTGCAAAAACTGATGGATTCGTTCAAAGCTGGTCTGAAAACGGTTCTGCAATGGATTTTACTGGTTAGATGCAATGGCAGTGATCGATGACCCATGTGAATCGATCACATTTATCAATTTATGCCGAATCTAATTATAGGAATGCACTTGAGCTGAACGCGGCGGCGGTCCTTCGTGGCAGCCGAAAAGACTCCGCAATTGAATGTATTGTGCTGCTTGGTGATGAGTGCCGACCTCTTGAGTCTTTACGATGATGTTACGGTTATGCGACGACGATAGTTTCAGAAGCTTTCAGAAGGCCTGATGAGTTGAATACTTGTTCAGAAAGTCATTCAAAAGTCATTCAGATTTGCTAATCAGCGTTTCTTCAAGGTGTTCTAAAACAACACAACATAATATTTATCATTCAATACATCATTTCAGTGCTGTAACATCGATGAGCACAATTGCATAGAGATGCAATTTTTGTTCAGTCAAACAAACACAAACACGACGAACACAAAACTGCTTCTAAAAGCAGTCAAAAATAAGCAATCGCATAAATTACAATGACAAAAGAAAATTATTCATTGCATTGCATAGGTAGGTATAATGATGAATCAAATGAACGACAATCAAAAACGACATTTCAATACAAGTCACATCTCAATGATGATCTCTTATAAACACTGATAAATCTCAACAAAAAAAAAAATTCACTCCTATAATTACAACAACCAGAGCAGAGTAGAGCAGATCAGATCAGTTAGTGCCTAACTCGATTTTTGAGTATTTTCTTGAGGAAATTCAGCCGATTGCGATAACCGATGTCGCCTTGCTCCTCTTCCACATAACCGTTGGAATCCAGTTCGGCTTCGACGATATTCTGATCGTTGTATCCATTATTCACTGACGACATTGCCTGCGCCTGTGCGGAAGATCCGTCAAAGCGAGAAGTTGACAGTGAGTTTTGGTTGGCAAAGCTGGATGACGATATCGAGCCAGCGAAACTTGGAAGAGGACGAGCTGCGGTTGATGTGGCCGGAGCGACGATGGGATTAAGCGGTGGCGGAAGCAGTGGGGCCGGTTCTTCGTCAAAATTGCCGCCTTCTGAGCCGTCGTCCATTTCACTCTCGGAACCACCTTCTTGTGACGCTTCGTACCCACCAACTGGCAGTACTACAGAAGCTCGCGGTGGTGCCTGAGCTGCATACGGAGACTGAGCTGCGGCTGGAGCTGTAGCCAGAGCCGGAGCTGGGAATCGGAATGGAGCTGGAGCTGGAACTGGAGCTGGGGCTAGGGGTGGAACTGGAACTGGAGCTGGGGCTAGGGGTGGAGCCGGGGCTGGGGCTGGGGCTGGATGCGAACCACGATATGCAGTTGAAAGTGGAGCTTCGGCTGGCATGAGATATGGAACTGCAACCGGAGCTGGAGCCGGGACTGGAGCCGGAGCTGGAGCTGGAGCCGGGGCCGGAGCTAGGACTGGAGCTGGAGCCGGGGCTGGAGCCGGAGCTGGAATGGGGACTGGAGCCGGGGCTGGAGCCTGAATCGGAGCCGGAGCTGGAATGGGAACTGGAGCCGGAGCTAGGGCTGGAACTGGAGATGGGGCCGGGGCTGGAGCTGAAGCTACATCTTTAGCCGGAGCTGGAGCCGGAAGTAGATCTTCAGCTGGAGCTGGAGCTGGCTCTTGCGCAGCCGAAGGTTGTGATGATATAGAACCTATGTTTGAATCGTATTCTGCCGGTTCAGCATCTGTATCGAACGAGGATCCAGAGGATGTGCCTTCCAATATTTGGCCAGATTCAACCGCCTCACCCGTTCCCATACCCTCTGCACCCGTGTCCTCCATGACACCAGCACCTTTTGATTCAGCACCACTTTCAATACCAGTATCAAATTGTCCGCCTGCACCCTCTCCACTGTAAGCACCTCCTGCAGCCACATTTGGCGGGGCGTGAGCTCTGAAATTCATAGTCACATAATCCCAATAGATGCACATAAAATTCTTCACGAACAAAATAGAAATAGAATTTCGACGGAAATCTCATCATCGATTTATTCAACGAACTGATTTTGCAGTGAATACAAACGATTCGCCGTCTGTGGGAGGATCAATTGTTTTGTTAACATCGTCCACAGTTATGGACGGTGTTATTGAAAATCCGTCAGCACGTTCATTTAATACTTTTTAACGCGAAAACTGAAAGGATTATTGATGTTTGTTATGAACAAAACAGATCATTACAATTACCCTGACATGCCTACTACTGGTCCCGAGAACGCTTCGCCGGCTCCGTTTGGCATCGCAGGACCACCAGGACCTGCGCTTGCTGATCTTAGCATCACATAACTGTTACCTCCGCCTGGCATCGCATAACCACCGAGACCACCTCCTCCGATTACGGGACCAGCCGCATGTAAACCATCGACGGCTATCACTGGTATCCTAGAAACAAAAGATACAAAAGATCAGCTCGAAACACGCATTCCAACTACGAATAAAAATATTTCTTCAATTTCATCACGGCTAAAATCTCGCTCCGGTCGAACCCCTAATTCAGGCTTGTTCTCTTTGCAAAATCAACGGCAAACACTTCAGAATACTAGGTGAAAAGAAAATCATGATGTTCAACTACACTGAATGAATATTCCACAGGAAAGTATATTGTTCAGTCAGTGCCACCAATTTGGTTGGAAATGATCAAATTGAGCACAATGTAAGTATTGAATAGAGCATGGATAAGGCAATGGTGGAACATTTCATTGGCAGTAACGATACTACTAATAGCGCGAAGATGACTCACGGTTCCATGCCCCCCATTACCATGCCGGGACTTCCCAATCCCATTCCCGGACCTCCCATTACCATTCCAGGCTCTGCCCATCCCATTCCAAGGCCACCACATACTGCACCGCATCCACACAGTGGTTTCATCCGTGGACAACAGCATCCTGACGACATACATCCATAAACGGATGGGCAAATCAGCACAATCAATAATAACTGAAAACAGCGATAGACTATCACAGTGAATTTATGAATTTATGACAAATCAGCACAGTAACTGAATTTATATCAGCTCCAGTATTTCGTATATAACCACTCTTTTTCAGAAGTTGAAATGATCTAAGCCCACGACATTGCAGAGCACATGTACTGCTTTAACTGATTCTTACGAGATTCAGATACTAGAAACTGATTCATTCAGCTCAATCAAGCGCTTCTCTTCTCGTCAAATATAATTCGATGTAATTCATAATTCATCAGTGATTATCACGTTTGAGCATAAATATGAGAAGAAAGTTACAAAACGATGTGGCCAAAACAAACATTTAAGACTGTCAAATAATCTATGCATCGCATACAAGTAGTGTAAGTTTACTGACCAATGAATGAAATGAATCAAGTAACCAACAATAACGTACCATTTTCATAATGGCGCTGCTGCGCATGTTTCCAATCAGCCAATATTAATCCAGTGAGTTTGGTGGAAAGAGAAGAAGAAG